GATAGCGAGAGGATAAAACTGATTTCTATGCTTGGAAACACTTGGTGATACGGATAAAAATAAGTCCAACATACACAAATACAGAATGATAGTTTGTGTGATAAATAGAGATATCATTTGTCAGATGGCTTATGCCTGTATAGAATGGGACATGATAGTCTGTGCAGCTTATGCACACGAACTGCCAAAATACAGTTTGAAGCTTGGCCTGACAAATGATGATGCAGCATGTCATACCAGCTTGCTGCTCTCCTGCAGGCTTCTCAGTAGGTTTGGCATGGACAAGATCTGTGAAGGCCAAGTGGAGGTGACCAGAGATGAATACAATGTGGGAAGCACTGGTGGTCAGCCGGGTGCTTTTACCTGGTATTTGCATGCAGCCAGAACCACTACTGGCAGTAAAGTTTTTGGGCCCCTGAGAGTGCTGTGGATGGAAGCTTGTCTTTCCCTCATAGTGCCGGGTGATTCCTTGGTTATGCTTCTGAAAGCAAGGAACTTAATGGCAAAGTGCATCAGAAGCACATCACGGGTCAGAAGGTTGCAGATTCTGTAACACGCATTATCTAACGGAAGATACTTACAAGGCAGGAAGTTTTATTGTAGTTTCCATGGGAAGGAATGGATGAGGCAAGGTTAGCAGGCCCTGAGAGGAGGGGGTGTCCTGAATTGTCTGGCACCTAGTCCTGGGATGATTAGGCAGGGGAATATTGGCCTCAAGAATAAGAGCCTGATAGAAGAGGTGGGAGAGGAGTGGGCTCTGGATTGATTGGTTTGTGTATGAATGAGCACTCATACTACCATCTCTGGGAATCGACTAGCACTAGGAAGGCAGTTTCTCCAGGTGGGTAAGACCCTCCATAGGTCAAAACATTAGCCTAAAAAGACATGCTCAATATAAGCAATAGCTGAGGCTCATACATCCATGCATTTCTGCTTCTATCACTTGAGCAGCATACTTAGTAGGATTTAGTTGTGTTTGGACCCAAACCTGTTAATGACAGTTATATTTAACAATAAAATTATGATTTAGGGAAATATCATATGAATTAGCGACCAAAAGTTGTTATTTCTTTGAAAACTAGGAAAGTCTTGATGAGAAAAACTGCTTTTAAGTATATGTGGGTTAGGTGCAATTGGAAAAACAACAGCAACAGAAAACATCCTGAAGATTCCACAGCAATGTGGAACTAACTCTCTTATTAATTCTACTTAGAGATATCTCGAGTTTTCCTTTTTGGACACTGTGACAACTGGCAGTTTGTTTTCTTGTTTCCAATCTTTGTAGGTCTTCTTCCTTTTTCGTACTGTGCTGGCAGGATCTTCAATACAATGTTGTCTAGAAGTGCTGGTCACAGGTTTCCTTGCCCTGTTTCTTATTTCAGAGAGAATGCTTTTAGTCATTGCCATTAAAAATAGTATTTGCTGTGGGATTTTAATAGATAATTTAAAAAATCAGATTAAGAAATTTCCTTTCTATTTCTAGTTTGCTTAGAGTTTTTTAAATCATTTATGGGTGTTCACTTATTTTATACCTGCCACTTTGAGGGATGCTCTTCTAGTACCACTGAAAAATTGTCTACTTTCTAGTGCCTCATAGTCAAATTTGCAATTCCTTATTTGTTTTCAATGAGGGAGGCTTGTTTGCTGGCTCATCTTTTGTGTGCCATAAAATATGTTAATATGCAGAAGCAAATCAAATTTCTAATCATTGGCAATGTGTCGCCCCACACTGTGTGACCCTCAATGTCAGTACTGTCTGATCTGATTTGGCTGTGTCCCCATTCAGATCTCAACTTGAATTGTATCTCACGGAAGTCCCACGTGTTGGGGGAGGGACGCAGGGGGAGGTAACTGAATCGTGGGAGCCAGTCTTTCCCATGCTATTCTTATGATACTGAATAAATCTTACAAGAGCTGATGGGTTTATCAGGGGTTTCTGCTTTTGCTTCTCTCATTCTCTCTTGCTGCTGCCATGTAAGAAGTACCTTCACCCTCTGCCATGATTGTGAGACCTTTCCCATGATTGTGAGACCTTCCCCAGCCATGTGAAACTGTAAGTCCAATTAAACCTCTTTTTGTTCCCAGTTTCAGGTATGTCTTTAATAGCAGAGTGGAGATGAACTAATACAGTGAATTGGTAACAGTAGAGTGGGGCATTGCTGAAAAGATACTTGAAAATGTAGCTGTGACTTTGGAACTGGTTAACAAGGAGAGCTTGGAATAGTTTGGAGGGCTCAGAAGAAGACAGGAAAATGTGGGAAAGTTTGCAGCCTCTTAGAGACTTATTGAATGCTTTGACAAAAATGCTGATAGTGATATGAACAATAAGGTCTCGGCTGGTCTCAGATGGAGATGAGGAACTTGTTGGAAACTGGAGCAAAGGTGTTATATTTTAGCAAAGAGACTGGAGTCATTTTGCCCCTGCCCTAGAGATTTCTGGAATTTTGAACTTGAGAGAGATGATTCAGGGTATCTGGTGGAAGAAATTTCTAAGCAGCAAAGCATTCAAAAGGTGACTTAGGTGCTGTTAAAAGCATTCCATTTTAAAAGGGAAACAGAATGTAAAAGTTCAGAAAATTTGCAGCCTAACAATATAGTAGAAAAGAAAAACCCTTTTTTGTGTGTCCTTTTTAAAATCATACTTTAGATTCTGGGGTTCATGTGCAATCATGCAAGATTGTTGCATAGGTACATTCATGGCAAGGTGGTTTGCTGCCTCCATGCCCCCATCACTTATACCTGACATTTCTCCCCATGTTATCTCTCCCCACCCTCCCCCCCCATTATCCCTCCCCTAGCCCATGCGAAGGACCCCAGTGTGTGATGCTCCCCTCTCTGTATCCACGTGTTCTCATTGTTCAACACCCGCCTATGAGTGAGAACATGTGGTGTTTGATTTTCTGTTCTTGTGTCAGTTTGCTGAGAATGATGGTTTCCAGGTTCATCCATGTCCCTACAAGGGACACAAACTCATCGTTTTTTTATGGCTGCATAGTATTCCATGGTGTATATGTGCTACATTTTCTTTGTGCAGTCTGTCATTGATGGGCATTTGGGTTGGTTCCAGGTCTTTGCTATTTTAAACAGTGCCGCGATGAACATGGGTGTGCATATGTCTTTATAATAGAACAATTTATAGTCCTTTGGGTATATACCCAGTAATGGGATTGCTGGGTCAAATGAAATTTCTATTTCTAGATCCTTGAGGAATCGCCACTCTGTCTTCCACAATTGTTGAAATAATTTACACTCCCACCGACAGTGTAAAAGTGTTCCTATTTCTCCATCCTCTCCAGCATCTGTTGTCTCCACATTTTTTTTATAATCACCATTCTAACTGGCAAGAGATGGTATTTCAGTGTGGTTTTGATTTGCATTTCTCTAATTACCAAAGATGATGAGCATTTTTTCGTATGTTTGTTGGCTTCATATATGTCTTCTTTTAAAAAGTGTCTGTTCATATCCTTTGCCCACTTTTGGATGGGTTTGTTTGTTTGTTTGTTTCTTCTTGTAAATCTGTTTTAGTCCTTTGTAGAATCTAGATATTAGCCCTTTGTCAGATGGGTAGATTGCAAAAATTGTTTCCCATTCTCTTGGTTGCTGGTTTGCTCTAATGATTGTTTCTTTTGCAGTGCGGAAGCTGTGGGGTTTAATTAGATCCCATTTGTCTATTTTGGCTTTTTAGCCATTGCTTTTGGTGTTTTAGTCATGAAGTCCTTGCCTATGCCTATGTACTGGATGGTTTTGTCTAGGTTTTCTTCTAGGGTGAAAAACCCATTTTTTGAGGAGAAATTCAAGCTGGCTGCAGAAATTTGTGTAAGTAGCAAAGAACCTAATGTTAATTCCCAAAACTAGGGGGAAAATGTCTCTAGACCATGCCAGAGACCTTCAGGGCAGCCCTTCTCATCAAAGCCCACGAGAAAAAAATGATTTCATAGGCTTGGCCCAAAGTCCCCACGTTGTGTGCAGCCTAGGGACTTGGTGCCCTGTGTCTTAGCCACTCCAGCCGTGGCTGAAAGGGGCCAAAATAGAGCTCAAGCTTGGGGGTTCTTCAGAGGATGAAAGCCCCAAGTCTTGGCAGCTTCCACATGGCATTGAGCCTGCAGGTGCACAGAAGTCAAGAACTGAGGTTTGGGAACCTCTGCCTAGATTTCAGAAGATGTATAGAAAAGCTTGGATGTCCAGACAAAAGTTTGCTGCAAGGGTGGGGCCCTCATGGAGAACCTCTGCTAGGGCAATGTGGAAGGTAAATGTGGGGTTGGAGCCCCCACACAGAGTCCCCACTGGGGCACTGCCTAGTGGAGCTGTGAGAAGAGGGCCACCATCTTCCAGACTCCAGAATGGTAGATCCACAGGCAGCCTGCACCCGGAAAATCCACTAACACTCAACGTCAGCCTGTGAAAGTAGCCAGGAGGGAGGCTGTATCCTGCAAAGCCACAGGGGCAGAACTCCCCAAGACCATGGGAACCCACCTCTTGCATCAGTGAGACCTGGATATGAGACCTGGAGTCAAAGGAAATTATTTTGGAGCTTAAAAATTTGACTGCCCCTCTGGATTTTGGACTTGTGTGGGCCCTGTAGCCCCTTTTTTTGGCCAGTTTCTCCCATTTGAAATGACAGTATTGCTTTTGATTTTACAGGCCCATAGGTGGAAAGGACTTGCCTTGTCTCAGATGAGACTTTGGACTGTGGACTTTTGGGTTAATGCTGAAATAAGTTCAGACTTTGGGGGACTGTTGGGAAAGTGTGATTGGTTTTGAAATGTGAGAATATGAGACTTGGAGGGGTCAAGGGTGGAATGACATGGTTTGGCTGTGTCCCCACACAAATCTCAACCCAGAATTCCCACATGTTGTGGGAAGAACCCAGCGGGAGGTAATTGAATCATGAAGGCCAGTCTTTCCTATGCTATCCTCATAATAGAGAATAAGTCTCACAAGATCTGATGGGTTTACCGAGGGGTTTCTGCTTTCGCTACTTCTCTCATTCTCTCTTGCAGCCGCCATGTAAGAAGCAGGCTTTTTGCCCTCCACCATGATTGTGAGACGTTCCCCAGCCATGTGGAACTGTAAGTCCAATTAAACCTTTTTCTGTTCCCAGTTTTGGGTATGTCCTTATCAGCAGCATGAAAATGAATGAATACACTGTCTTACATATTAGTTGCCAAAAATGAGACATTTCATGCTGTATAAAATGCGTAAAAATGCAAAATATACATTGCATATTTGGAGTCAACTGACTCATGGAGCTTTATGGCAAGTGAGATTCCATGTCCTTAGGATCTTTTTCTCTTTTATTGTGTGAGAATTTTACTTGCATCACCAATTTCAATAACCCTGAGATCTCAGCACAACAGAGGAATAACAGTGACAGTGGCAACAGCCCAAAGAGAGAGATGGTTTTTTTCTTTTTGGCAAGTCAATAAAAATTCAGCTCTAATCTATATATTTTCTATAGTCTACATTTTCCTAAAAGGGAAAAGCCCACCTCTCCCCATGGCTGGGGGAAGCATAAGAGTTCAGTGACTCTATGAAGGGTTTCAGACTTCTCGCGATCAGCATCTTTATTTTCTTGTCATTCTACCCCCACACTGTCCCCAGTCCTCATCCTAACATCTGTTTTTTTAATCACTGTCATTGAAAACAAGTGTGGTGCTGTCTGAAATCCACAAAAAACAACCTCCGGGGAAGAAAGTATAAATCATAGGTGCGTAAATCATCAGCCCTGAGAGCTGGCATACTATTGACTTGCCTAAGAGTCTGCATTTTCATTTAGTGGGAAAAATCAGCTTTGATGCACATGATCAGTGGTGATGGTAGGGAACATAAGAAACACAATGACTCAGAACTGGCAAAAGTCTGTGTGTGGGGAGAGAGAGATTGGTGGATTCATTCTGGCATGTAATCAGCCCGTGAGAACTGTGAGGATATTGAAAGCAGCCAGCTTATCAGCATATTGACATGCAATGAAAGCTCCTTAATGCTTCCCAATCCCTATGCAGAAGAACTGGAGAAGGAAAACCACTGTCATTGGAAAAAATTATTTGGCAGAACATTCTCTTTAATGAGGAGTTTCATTCATTTTCTGGGAAACATACTAGCATTTTGTCTCTATCGCACTAAAAAAACTGGCTGGTGCAATCAATTCCACAGAACACCCATCAATTCAGTTAAACAACCAGTGGGGTGGAAAACCCCCAGAAATCAATAATAGTTGTTTCACTGAATTGATGAGTTACTGTGAGTCATTCAGATCCATCAGTTGACTTGTGTGTTCAATTGCTGCCTTGTCTGTGGTGTTGTGTGGGAACTTCAGGCCAGAGACAGAGCCTGCTGGAAGGCCTACAAAGTGCAAGGTGACAGAGAGGTGCAGGCTCCCCATGGCCAGTGGGTGCCACTTTTTCTGGGAAGATCCTTGCTGCAAGGTGCAGCATACCTGAGTGAGTATGATGAGCTGATATAGCAGTGGGTGCCACTTTTTCTGGGAAGATCCTTGCTGCAAGGTGCAGCTTACCTGAGTGAGCATGATGAGCTGATATAGTTTTAACAAGCCACCACTGGCTGAGTGCCTTCGATGAGAGAGTTGCTTTTAAAATATTATTACTTAACATTTTTAACAAACCTGCAATGAAGAAAATTTCCCTCCCTGCTCTTTTCTTGCTTGAGGATTGAAGAGAAGCAGGGAGAGGCAGTCAGGAAGCTACCTCTGTTCATTGCCAAAGCCAGAGTTCTCTTCAGGGTGCCATCCGCCCCTCATCTGTGCATAGGATTGTGGCTGAGAACTGTAGGTTCTGAAATCTGATAAAGATGGTTCAAATCCTGGCACCTACTTATTGTGGGATGTTTGGCAATTTACTTCACTGTTTTCAGTTTCAATTTTCCCATCTGCAAAATGGGAATAATATCTAGTCATTGAAGGAATGAATACAAGAATGTAAACAAAGTCCACTGTATACGGCCTGGGAATAATGTGGCAAAGCCTGTTTCTTTTTCTTGTTGTTTGTTTTTAACAAATGTTATTCTTGGTACTGTCACTAAGGGTGGTGACTTGAGCTTGTCCTAAACTCATTTTGGGTGGCACTCCTTCCTCTTTCCTTGCTCTTGCAACTTACAAATCCTCTGAGAGATTTTAAATCTTTTGTGAGAGCCAGAACGTAGGTGTCAATATTTAATTGTCAAGTTCTGAATTTTAGTGAACATTTATTACTTCATAACAGATGAGGCTTCTATTGACCTGCTTTGTTCATCCCGCTTTAAAAAACACCCAGTTGGTTGCCTCTTCATGCTGGCATGCTCTGCTCCTATGCAAGTGTGTGTAGGGGTGCCGTAAGGAAGGAAGGGGATTTCAACAAAGGCTTGCTGGCTCACTCAACTGCGAGGCAGAAGGCAAGAAGTGCCCACGAAAACACTGGCAGTACAAATCCAGCCATGTCTACAAAGTTCACAAACAGGCAAAATGAATCCAAGGCAATAGAAGTCAGTCTATGGGCCAACTCCTTGGTGTGGGAATTTTATTTTATTTTATTTTCTGAGTCAGAGTCTCGCTCTGTTGCCCAGGCTGGAGTGCAGTGGTGCAATCTCTGCTTACTGCAGCCTCCACCTCTTGGGTTCAGGTGATTCTCCTGCCTCAGGTGCCCGAGTCGCTGAGACTACAGGTGCATGCCACTGCACTCAGCTAATTTTTGTATTCTTAGTAGGGATAGGGTTTCACCATGTTGACCAGGCTGGTCTTGAACTTCTGACCTCAAGTGATCCACCTGCCTCGGCCTCCTAAAGTGCTGGGATTATAGGCATGAGCCACCACACTCAGCTGGTGTGAGAATTGATGGGGAAAGGGCAGAGGGAGACTCCTGGGTACTGGAAGTGTTCTAGGCCTGGATCTGGACAACTGCACAGGTAGCATTGGAGCTGTGCATTTAGGATTTGTGCCCTGTATGTGTGCTCCACTTCAATTAAGGAGAATTGAAATTTTAAATACCCATAGAAAAAGCACCGCTAGTGCTAGTGCTCAGCAGGATGTGAAGATTGAAGGCATGTAATACGATAGGCTGTGCTCACCCACCTGTGGCACTGGGTAACAATGGCATGGATTATTCCCTTGCAGCAGAGTGGACTGGCCTAGGCAGACAATTCCACTGTGGAAAAAGGGGACGCACCCCATCACCAGATGTCCATGAGAGCTGAACCATATTCAGATTCCTTATCTCTCCCTAATAGTAATAACTACCCTGATCAAGTACCTATTTAGTTCTAAGTGCTTTGTAGATATAGATTTTTTTCCGCTAGTCTTTATAATAATCTTATATGGTAGGTGTCTTTTGTTCCATTTTATCACCGAATCAATAGTTTAAAGAGACCTTATAACAAGTAAGGGGTCAAGCAAGATTATTTTTTTTCTTCGAGATAGAGTCTTGCTCTGTTGTCCAGGCTGGTACAGTGGCACAATCTTGGCTCACTGCAACCTCCACCTCCTGAGTTCAAGTGATTCTCCTGCCTCAACCTCCCAAGTAGCTGGAACTACAGGCACGTGCCACCACACCCAGCTAATTTTTTTTTTTTTGTATTTTTAGTAAAGATGGGGTTTCACCATGTTGGTCATGATGGTCTCGATCTCTTGACCTTGTGATCCACCCGCCTCAGCCTCCCAAAGTGCTGGGATTTCAGGAGTGAGCCACCATGTCTGACAGGGTGAAACAAGATTTTAAGCTTGGTCTGTCTGGCCTTTTGATCAGGACCATAGTCTCTGAAGACAAATTGCCTGGGTTTGAGTCAGCTCCGCATTTCCTTACTTTGTAAACGTGGGTAAGTTCCTTGCCCTCTTTGTGCCTTAATTTTCTCAATTTCAGGAAAGGGGAGATGGCAGCTATGTATCACAGAGTTATTTGAGTTAATCTGTGTAAAACACTTAGAAGATGGTATGTACTTGGCACATAGTAAGAGCTATACATGTGTTAGCAGTTATTCTGTTGAATGACACAGCCTTTCAAAGTGGAAGGGCCAAATCCTATGATTTTCTGAAACATAAAGTAGAAATATAGGCCTAGCCAAACTGTTTGCTTCCTACCTCCCTCCTATGGGTTAACAGAGTCCTAGATCCTAGGTATCTGGCAAGCACCTGGGACTGCTTTCCTGCTTCCCCAGGAGAACCCTTGGGTCACAGGCCAGGGGTGGGGTCAAGGTCCCTTGTCACTAAAGCTCTCTCATGCCACTTGTATCCTCAAGGTGGGCTAAGAGAAAATGTTGTTCTAGGTTTGCTGGCAGTTCCTACCTACTCTGATGTCAGGCACAGGGGAGCCTGGAAGCTGTTGAAATGAGGGTTTTTCCAGGTTGTGCCATCAGGTTTTCTTTCTGGATCTCCAGCCCCATTCCCACCTGGATTCTGGGAATTGCCCCTTCGCTGACCTGCATGGTGACAGTGGTCCTTGTGTGAACAAGGTCCCACCTCTGAGGTCACCTGTGATGGACTGGACCAAAGTCTCTTCCCCAGAAATCAAGGCTTGGAAGTAATAAGTGATAACATTAGTCGAGATGATCTTTGAATGGAAGAGATATAAATAGAAGAATGTGGTAGCCATTTTCTGCCTTGTCCACTTGTAAATACACTGAGAAAGGAAGTGTGCAGCAAGTGTGAGAGGTAGAGCAGAGGCTCAGGTAAGAGCGGGGCCAGGAGCAGAGACTGAGCGAGGTGGGCCACTGTGGAATCACCCAGCATTCTCATCTGCAAATTACCCCTCTTGCTTAGGCTGGCTCCAGTGGGTTTCCACCGCTCGTACTTGAAGAGTTCACAGACATACACCTGTCTGAGTGATTAAAGGAACAAAATTCATCGCATGAAACAATTTTCTTGGAAGCCTTTCTTGAATCCCCTAAACTGAGTTAGGAGCTCCTCTCAAACATGGCTACTTCCCTTTCCCCATGGAATTAGCTGTATCTTAGCCCTAGTCATCCTCTTCCAAAAAATATGCCTGTATTAAAAAAAAATTTATCTTTTAAACCCACAAGGAGTTTCCAAAATGCAGTTTTTTTTGAGTTGCAATCTTTAAACTATTAGGTCTCATTCATGTAGTTCCTGCATTATTTATTCATTTCAATAAAAACATACTAGGCTTTAATATTTAGTTTATATTTATTCATTTTATATGAATTCATTTTTAAACTGAGCATCATCCAGGAAATATTTAAGAATTGAGGGTTTGAGGTACTAGATATATACTTCTAAACACATGTTAAACTGAATATGTACCTATTTTAAAAAAAGATGATATGTATCACTTAAGATCATCTCACATGTCACTTTGGAAACTCCTGCCCTAGCTTAGCAGCCCCTTAAAAGCAGGACAGTGACTCATGCCCAGCCAGCTTTCTACCCCTGGGCTTAAGGCCCAACATTTCCCCTTTATAGAACTTTTCACAATAAACCATCAAATGCACAATTAGTTTCCTTGTCTGGCTTGCATGGAAGACCCTTCCATGCATTGTTTACTGCTTTATCCTCAGTGCCTTCAACTAGGTCTGGCACCTAGCTGATGTTTAATACATATGCCTTGGATGAAATAATGCATGTATTGATAAATGCAAACCAGTTCCAGAGTGTTCTGCAGCCATGAATGTCAATACATGCTGCTCCTGACTGGTGGGGACCCTTGGGGGTGAGCACTCTTGCTCAGTGTCGTACTTCTCTCACTTGCTCCACTGTGGTTGGTGACACTATCAGGTCATGCATGGAAAGTCTTTAGTCCTTAGTTTCAACGGCCAAAGCAGAACAGTCTTCGGACACTGTGATTCATACATACCCTGGCTGGGCATGTGCAGAGCCAGCTGTATAATTTCAGCAGCCTAGTTCAAAATCAAAACGTGTGTTCAAAAAGCAGGAGTCCCTATGACTCAGCAATTCCACTTCCAAATATACCCAAAAGAATTGAAAGCAGGGACTCAAAGAGATGGTTGCACACCATGTTCATGGCAGCATTATTTACAATAGCCAAGAGGTGGAAGCAACTTAAATGTCCATCAACAGATGAATGGATACACAAAATGTGATATAGACACACAATGGAATATTCTTTAGCTTAAAAAAGGTAGGAAATTGGGTGGCCGTGGTGGCTCACGCCTGTAATCCTAGCACTTTAGGAGGCTGAGGCAGGTGGATCATGTCTGAGATTCTGCATTTCCAGCAAGCTCCCATGTGACTAGGGTACTATAATTAGGATCAAGAGTCTAGACCATCCTGACCAACATGGTGAAGCTCTGTCTCTACTAAAAATACAAAGAAGTTAGCTGGGCGTGGTGGCATATGCCTGTAGTCCTAGCTACTTGGGAGGCTGTGGGAGGAGAATCACTTGAAGCTGGGAGGCAGAGGTTGCAGTGAGCTGAGATGGTGCCGCTGCACTCCAGCCTGGCAACAGAGCAAGATTCCATCTCAAAAAAAAAAAAAAAAGGAAATTCTGACACATGCTATGGCATGGAAAAACCTCAAGTACCTGCAGTTGTCAAATTCATAGAGATAGGCAGTAGAATGGTGTGTCAGGGGCTAGGGGTAGGGGAAAATGGGGAGTAATGGGTACTGTGTTGCAAGAAGGAAACAGTTTTGAAAATGGCTTGGGTTGGGCATGGTGACTCACTCACGTAATCTCAGCATTCTGGGAGGCCGAGGCAGTAGATTGCCTGAGCCCAGGAGTTTGAGACCAGCCTGGGCAACATGGTGAAATCCTGTCTCTACTAAAAATACAAACTTAGCTGGGAATGCACCTGTAGTCCCAGCTATTTGAGAGGCTGAGGTGGGAGAATCGCTTGAGCCCAGGAGATGGAGGCTGCAATGAGCCAAGATCACACTGCTACACTCCAGCTTGGGTGACTGAGCAAGACCCTGTCTCAGAAAAGAAAAAAACAAAAAACAAAAAACAAGAATATGGGTTGATAACAATGTGAATGTATTTAATACCACTGAACAGCACACTTCAAATGGCTAAGAGAATAATTTTATGTTACAGAAATTTTACTACAATTTTTTTAAAAGTAGGAGAAAAGCTTTCCTCTCTCATGGCCTCTCTCTCTCTCTCTCTCTCTCTCTCTCTCTCTCTCTCTCTCTCTC